ATTAAGAGAACAGAATGGGAACGGATAAACTAATGCTGCACCTCCAACATCTACAAACGGAAGAGCAAACTAAACTCAAAGCTGAAAAACGTGAAGAAATTACAAAAATAGGGCAGAATTTAATTAAATTGATAAGAAAACAGTTCAAAGAATTAACGAAGTAATAGTATTGTTCTATGAAAGATTAAATAAAATTGATGAGCCCTGAGATAAACTCAGCAAAAAGAGGAAAGAGAAAATTCAAGTATAAGCAAAAGGGAAGGAAAAGATGCAATTACCACAGACTCAGTGGAAACTCAGATCACCAATATCTACTTTGAGAACCTTTACTCTCACAGAATAAAAGACGCAGAAGAAATGGAGTGATTCCTAGAAAGATAAAAATTACCAAAACTGAATCCTGAAGATATAACAACTTTCAATAACCCAATGAAACACAAAATGTGATAAAGAAAATTCCAAGACCTGATGGATTCACTGCTGAATTCTACAAAATATTTATAGGAGATATAATCTCTATACTCTGCAAACTCTTCAATGGAATTGAGAAGGAAGCAATCCTCCCAAAATCATTCTTAGAGGCAAGTATTATACTGATACCAAAACCATGCGAAGACACAACTAAAAAAGACAACTACAGAATAATCTCCCTCATGAACATACATGCAAAAATCCTCAATAAAATTCTAGAAAACAGGAGATAGCAAATCATCAAGAAGATTATACACTATGATCAGATAAGATTCATTCGAGTGATGCAAGGAGGGTTCAACATATGCAAATCTATAAATGTAATACACTATATCAGTGCAGCCAAATCCAAAAACCACATGATAATCTCAATTGACACCGAAAAGGCTTTTGACAAAGTCCAACGCTCATTCATGTTCAAAGTCTGTCAGAAAATTGGAATAGACAGCCTCTCCATCAATCTGATAAAAACCATCTTTAACAACCGAACTACTAACTTAATTCTAAATGGAGAAAAACTGAAATCTTTTACTCTCAGATCAGGTACAAGACAAGGATGCCCCTTTTGCTTCTCCTATTCAATATAATCCTGGAATCATTAGCTACCAGAATGAATACGCCAATTCAGTAGTAGGGTAGGATACAAAGTCAATACCCAAAAGTCAATAGCATTCTTCTAAATAGAAAACAAACACATACACACACTGAGTGGGAAATTAGAGAAACAATTCTTTTTACAATAGCACCGTAGAAAATGAAATACTTTGGAAATAATCTAACTAAATTAGTCAAAGATCTATTCAATGAAAATTACAGTAGTCTGGAAAAGAGATGGTAGAGGATTTCAGAAAATGGAAAGATATTCCCTGTTCATGGATAAGTAGAACAATATTGTGAAGATAGCCATACTCCCAGACTTGTTGTACTGATTTAATGCAATCCCTATCAAAATACCACCAACATTCCTCACAGACCCAGAGAAATCATTCCTAAAATTTATTTGGAACCAGAACAGACCTGGAATTAAAAAAAGGCAATTCTGGACAACAAAGACAAGGTAGAAGGCATCACAATTTCCAACATGAAATTATACTACAAAGTTAATGTGATAAAATCAGCCATTTCTAAACACTTTCTCAATTATATTGGCAAAAATACAGACCTGAGGATTAATGGACCAGATGAGGAGATACAGAAGCAACTACGAACACACTCAGCCACCTTGTCTTTGACAAAGGGGCCAAACATACTCACTGGAAGAAAGATAGCCTCTTTAACAAATGGTGCCTGAAAAACTGGCTCTTTACGTGCTGAAAACTAAAACTTGACCCAGATATCACCATGCACTAACATAAAATTAAAATAGAGTAAAGATCTAAACATTAAAACAGAAACACTAAACCTCCTGGAGGAGAAAAATAGAAGAGAATCTTGAAGGCATAGGGGTAGGCAAACATTTCATGAAGAAAAATCAAATTGAATGGATACTACTTGAAAGAATTAATGAGGGGGACCTCCTTTTGTTGAGATGTCTCTGCACGTCAAAAGAAATTACCAACAAAGTGAAGAGGCCACACACAAATTTGGAAAATATCTTAACTAATAAGCACTCAGACAAAGGTATTCTCTCTAGAATTTATAAAGATCTAAAAAAAAACCCATTAAGTCCCCAAAATTTAAAGACTCAATCCAGAAATGGACATCTAAGATGAACACACACTTCTCAGAGGGCAAAATATATGAATAAATATATGAAAAAATACTCCACATCACTAGCCATCCTTGAATTGCAAATTAATACAACAGTGAGATATCATCTCACCCCAGAAAGAATGGCTATCATAAAAAGATCACCCAACAACAAATGTTGGAGAGGCTGTGGGGAAAAAGTAACCCTTCTCCACTGCTGGTGGGAATGTGGACTGGTGCAACCATCATGGAAATTAGTATGGAGACCCCTTAAAAATACTAGTACTGGAAGTTCCATTCAATCCAGATATTCACCTACTGGGAATTTTCCCAAAATAACTGAACACATCATATCACAGTGATATATGTACACCTGTGTGTATAGCAGAACAATTTGCGATATATAGTTGGGTCTCCAACTGCCCTTGCATCCCATGCTCCGACAACCTTTGTTATGTGTACTTCAGAATCTTGTGCTTCAAAGGTGATTACATCATGGGGCCCTGTGTTCATCAGTAAATTCATCTCCAGGTGAGTTTAGTACCTATATGTTCTGTTAGCCAATGGGGCCTGACTGGAGGTGGCTTGCTGACGAATCCTGAGAATCTGTGTCCTTGGACCCCTTATCTCCCCTCATCTCTTTGTTTCCTGGCTGTCATGGTTGAAAAGCTTTCTTCTGTCATGTCTTTTTTTTTGCCTTGGAGCCTGCTAATCTTCAACTGAATCAGTGATGTGGAACAAAACTCTTCCTATATGTTACAGGTATTCAATATTTTGCCTCAACAATGAAGAAGTGACAAATACAGATTTGGCTGCCATAGAACTGGAGGCATTGCTGTCACTGTGCCTGCCCCTGTGGTTTGAAAACATTTGGAACCAGTTTTCAGGAGCTATTTGGAAAGGACTGAAGGTGACAGGCACAGAAGCTCAAGCATATGGAAACAGGAAATGGAGACACGGGAAAGGAAGCTAAAAGCCCAGGCAATTTAGAATGTATTTTAGCAGGTGAGTCATTCACATGAGGGGCAGGGTGTTTGCAGAGTTCAGAGGAACACAAAGAGGGGCAGTTATGTTTCTATAAGTATGTTTCACACAGGGGTAATGACATCATTATGTTTTGTCTTTTAAATGTGTTGAAGATTTAATGGAATATATTGGATACATCTGAAGACAGCAACAAAAAATAAAACTCTCTATCTCTCCAAATTTTGTGTTACTCCCACTCCTTTCCTGTTGAGCTCCATTGATGTATCCATGAGATCTACTGAATCTTTTGCCTTCAATACTGATTTGCACCCACCATCCTGCTTCCATCTACACATGTTTATAACCACTTTCTCAATCCATTCATTTATCCAATTCTTTTTCTTACATATGTATACTCAAAAACACAAAGGAGAGCTCTTCTTTTTTTCGTTTAAGATAGATACTAAATATACTCAATATATTTACAAATAATGTAACTAAATGCAAAACAGAAATGGAAGAACACAATTAAGTACATCTACAAAAGTGTACTAAATTCAGTACATTGAAAGCAGTACATTCATTTATTTATTTTTATAATGGATTTCCCCATTCATGGTGATTTTTGTTAATTTTTATTCATTTTAATGAGAAAATAAAATAGCAATAAAAAAGTTTCAATACAAGTTAATAAGACAGTTACAATAAATAATACATTGCATATTGGTATCTGCATAGTGGTTATTCAGAAGACAAGATGCACACATGATACCTTTTTAAAACAATATTAATACAAAACTTTATTCTTATGGAACTAAGAAAAAGTAGTTGTGAAACTGTCCTATTTTGTATATACATATTTTTTTCATTACAAAAATTTGCATTTTTAGTTATACAGGTCTTTCTTTAACTTGGTCTTAACTATACAGCAGAAAAGTATAACCACGATATACAAAAAGTAATGCAATATTAATATGCTGAGCTATAAGTGTTTCAAGTCAACAGCTTCTGACAATTGCCAGTTTTGCTGATAACCCACTATTATTATGGACTGTTGGACTACATTGGGATATTTTGCTGAATGCAAGTACCTACAATATTTGAAATAATATCAAGAATGAAAAGGTCCTTTGAAGACTTCTCCAAATACAGTTTCTCTAACAGCAATGGAACATCCCTCTCTGACAAAACAAAAAAGGGGATATGAAAAAAGGACATTCCTTTAAAAGAAAAGATCAAAAATATATTAAAGAAATGAGAAACAGTGATATACAGGAAGGAATTTATTATATTTACAAATTGAGAACAAATGTCGGGAAAGCCAAAAAAAGATAAGTTGGATGGTATATAAGATGCAACAAAATGAATTCTGACTTAAATAGAAAAATATCCAGAAAAAATATTTCAACTTAAAAAGATGAGGACAATAGTCTCTCTGGAGCAGGTTGCTTTAGCAAAAGAAGTTGCATCACTTAGGAAGAATAAGAGCCCTACAGTGGACTAGCATACCTAACTTCACATATGGTTCAGCTTTGAATTCAGGCCCTCTGTGTATATTAGGAAACACATTAATGATGAGAAGACTTCTTTCTCTCAGAATGTGTTTTGTCCCTAATTCCAGTCAGAGAATTTCTCTCTGGTCTTACCAAAATAATGTAGCACTTGGGGACAAAGATGCAGCCCAGCAGCCCTGCACTGGAGGCCAAGATGGAGAAGACCTCCATGGCCACCATGACCTTCCCCTTGCTGCTATGGTACACGGGCAGGAATGTGACCCACACACTGCAGAACACCAGCATGCTGAAAGTCAGGAACTTGGCTTCATTGAATGTGTTGGGCAGGTTCCTGGCCAGGAAAGCCACAGTGAAGCTCACCAGGGCCAGGGAGTCCAGGTATACCAGGACACAGTAGAAGGCGGTGAGGGAGCCCTTGTTGCACACGATGATGATGTGGACATGTTGAGCGTGAGCATCTGTGTCAATGTAGGGTGGATTTGTCCCCATCCAGATTCCACAGAGAGTGAATTGGATCAGGGAGCAGATGGGGATGATGAAGTTTGGAGCCCCTGACACAAGCAACTACCTCATCCTCCTGCCTGGAGCAGTGGCCTGAAAGGCTAGCACAACGATAATGGTTTTGGCCAAGACAGTGGAAACAGCCACAGTGCAAGTGCAATCGTGGTCTCCTGCAGGATGCAGGTGGCTGTGTTGGGAGGGCCAATGAAGAGCAAGAAGCAGAGGAAACCACAGGTAAGGGAGATGAGCAGGGTGTAGCTGAGAGCCCTGTTGTTGGCCTTGACGATGGGAGTGTCTCTGTGCTTCACAAACAGCCCAAGAACAGCAGCTGTGAGAATAGTGAGACTCAGGGAAATGCCAGCTAGAGCCTTCCCTAGAGGATCCTCATAAGCCAGAAAAGTCACAGCTTTTTTTAGGCAGTGGTTTTGCTGAGTGTTTGCATACTGATGATCTGGACACTTCCCACACTGTTCCATATCTGGCAGAAATTAAAACTTTCATTTGCCTATATTTATTTGTTTATTATTTTTACAGACCCATCCCCAGAGGTTCTTTGGACTTGCTTGAACTAAAATTTCACTTATTAATTTTTCTTGTTCTTTCATTTTTCTTTTTCTTTAGGTGGAACTGAACTCATAATTTATACTAACAGGGCCAGCCAAATAAATCATCAGATTAAAGCACCTGCAAGCAGGCGCAGGGGCTTGGGGTTCAATCCCCTGGCTTGCTTTTCCAGCCCCGTCCCCAGGCGATCTGAAATGGCGATTCAGAGTGGTTGTGTTGGTGCAGACTTGTAATCCCAGAAATTGGGAGGCTGTAAACAGGCAGATCCCTATGGGCCCTATCTAGTGGTGAGACCCTGAACACCCTCTAGACCCTTCCCTAAAAAGTACAGAAAAAAAACCCATAAAAATAATTAACAATGACATAAAATTTCAACCCTTTTGAGTGTAACTGTTTTGAGACAGAGTCTCTTTAATCATTTTGTTTCCACAGCTGTGTTCTGACTGAAGATCTTATTGCTTCAGCTTCTGACAGTGCTGAGTTCCAGGCATGCATCACCACATCTCACTTTTCCATTTTTTTCTAGATACAAAATTAAATAATGGAATGTAGAGAATACCTCAATACACAGTCAGTCTCATTGTACTTCGGAGCTCATTGAAATTTATACTCCATGTATTTTCAAGTTAAAATTTATATCAGCCACAAAAAAACAACTTAATAAATATTCAGTGGAAAGATGATTGTACTTTGTCATGATTTATGACAAAGTTAAATATGTTCAAAGTGGTACTAATGGTGTGCAACATTCTTCAACATTAGATTTTATAATATTTATAGAATGTGTTTCTGTCCTCATGTTCATTATGTCTGTTTTGACAACATGGCCCATTTTTCTTTAGGATGCTTAAACATTCCATGAGGAGTGAATGTTCTTTCAATGGTGAATATGACATTTTGGCTACTGAAAGTAAACCTAAAAGAACTGATGTACTTTATTTTTTTCTGATAGTATCACCTCTGTAAAAATGCCTATGAAACCCTCTGGAAATGTAGATACTATCTCTTGTTCAATCCCTTATTATTATTCATATCATCCTTGCAGTTTTGTGGTACAGACTCTATTCCATGATGTAGGCTATCTCCCCACTCATCTGTACATTCCAGGAGAACAGGATTAAACCTAAGATGAGATTGCACTATGTTCTAAGTATGTTGTATATCAATGTCACTATCTCCAAATAAACTTAATGTTTCTGAGCACCTGCTTTGTGTGGAAAAACAGCATCAGCCCCAGGAGAATGAAATTGCCTGCCCTTCTCTTCACTGTAATCTTGCTGTGGTTCCAAAACTTGTAAAAAATTGGCTTTAACACTGCTCTGTGTTAAACTTCACAGTGGATATGGAACAGAGAAACTGTGGGGTAGTAAGATAAGGCTTGTCTGGAGAAAATAATTCTTTTAATGGGACAAGAAAAATGAATCAATGTAGTCAGGTATGGTGATGTGTAGTGTTATTCCAGATAATTAGTGGGCTGAACCAGATCTATTGAATTTTTGAGGCAGTCTGAGGCAAATTGGCGATGTCCTGTATCATAATATAAATAAAAATAGCTGGAGACAGACCATTGATAGAACCCATTTTAGTTTCATTCTAGCAAAGCAAAAAATCCAAACCAAACCAAAATGAAACAAAACAAAAAGTCATATAAATAAGAATAAAATGAAAAGAAAATGAATTCAAGCACATTTCCAAAGAAAAAAAGATCTTTTTCAACAAGATAGTAGTATTCAGTATAGCAACTAATTTGATATGCAAAGGAGGACTTCTATCATCTGTGTCCTCTTCAAGATATTTTGCATTTACTGGATGGAAGGAGTGAATAGATCATAAAGGAAGAATGTCTTCACATCATTCTCCTAAATGTGTCATTGGTGACCTCATTGTCTGCACAAGGGATGCAATCAAAACAGCAGGCAGCCTTTCCTGCCTGAAGCCTTTTTCTAAATCCAGGGCTGCAGCTCTCCCTGCAGACTGAGCGGGGAGTCTAAAGAAGAAATATACAGTGGTAACTTACTAAACATTTGTTTCTTCAGAGCAAGAGTGATTAACTCAATTTGTATGTATACATCAACACAGCTATGCAATTGAACACCTAACTTATTCCATAATATGAAGCATGTATTTAAAAATTATAATTAAGTAGATGCATTACTTTCCCACTCATCAGAAACTTGTAAACATTTTCTTTTCAAATCGAAATCATTCTTGTCATTCAATTTCCATATATGACCATTGTATAAGCAAAATTGGTGGCACAAAGCCTGTGACAGTGCACATTTGCTCATTGCTGGTCTATGGAAAGGAGCAGACAATATTTAATTTGTTTTGTCTTTTTCAACTGTGCGCTTTTTCTCTTCTTAAATTCTTATACTTATTTTCTTTCTTCTTCAAATTGTACATGCAGATATCTGATAATATGAATAACTGGTTGGAAGACAACACTATGTATTACAACAAACACTGTGAAATTCATATTACTTTGTAAAGTGAAATTCTCTATCATTTGTAATTTTTTTTTGTAATTCTAATTTGTACTGCCTTTAAAAAAAGTCTATGTCAGTGTTTAGCTTACTTGTGGTTAGGTGTTCCGTGATTAGGTACAACATACCTCTGTCACTTCTGTGGCCCACTCTATCATATCCTCAGATAAAGTCATGGAAAGATCCTAAGCATGTTTAATTCATTTTACCTAAAGCAATGTTAGCACTGGAATCTACTAAATTGGAGCTCATGGATGTCTCAGGACTAACATGTTCCCATGCTCAAGAAATGTCCATCAGTTTCCAAAAAAGCATATTCTATGCAAGCTGATCTAAATAAGGTTTGTAGCTCTGTTAGGGAAAAACTTTAACACTGGGAAAAAAAGCTCCTAAAGCCTACAACTTCCATTGTTTATGTGACTATGCACATGGCATCTAGGAACACAATGAGTTCATCAAGATTTTGTAGCAGGAAATGACATTTAAACCTGTGCACTCTTAGGATTGACATCATTTAATTTTATAAGTGAATATAGGTTTTCCTATTGTCCTTGAAGACAAACATGGAGCATGTTGACGTGGGTAAGGCACTGACAACCCATAGGTAGAGCAAGGAGCTGACTGCCTTGTCTTTCCTCCTTGCCAGTGGCTCCTTGATGGAGGGTTTTTTCAACTCATCTCAAGAACTCACTCCTTAGCAGTAAGTGTGGTGCATAATGTCTAGTGGTTTGAAGAAATAGTCTTAACACAATTAGGTGAAGCACATAGAATAACTTGAGAGAGGCACCGTGATGACACTGCCTGCCATCCAAGGGAAGACACTCTCATTACCTGCCAGGGAGAAAACATCATCACTTCTCTCTTATTAAGTGATGTCATTTCCACCTCTTCAAAAAGCATCACATGGAGGGCAAGGGCCACAACATACACAGCATTGTAAACATTGTAGCTTCTATCACTCATGGCTGTGTCAAAACGATTTGGTGGTAACCAAGCCAAAGAGGCATTAGGTGTACAGTTCTCTAAGGCACAGTCAGACTCAGAGAATGAGCAATCAAAATTCTTGGACCAATACATAAAGAGGTAAGTGTCTTCTGGGTATTTGAACAGGGTAGCTTCCTGGACAAAATTTCTGAAACCTGGAATTTCTTCATGGTGGTGTGAAAAAACAAGAATCCCACCAAATGGATCAAGTAGGAAATCTCTCCCAGTCAGATCAGCATGCCATTGTGAGTTTGTCACCCAGACTTTCTATGTCACAAAGTTTTGTGCTTTGCTGTAGTTTACATCATTTGGACTATCAGGGTGATAGTAAATAACAACCACATTGGCAAATAACGTATCTGCACTCAGGATGTCATGTTGCTTTATGACTGAAATATGAGACACAGCTGCACTGGACATCCTTTTCACAAGGGCTACACAGACTCTGTTTCTGTACATCTCAGTTCTTATATCTGAGAGAAACTGAAGACCATTATGACCTTCTGTGATGAGCAGGCCCACCCATGTCCAGTGGAAATGACGCATTAAGGATACCATGGCAAGGGCCAGATATGTGTCATTTGGGGCCACCTGGTGGAGCGAAGGATATTGACTACTGTCCATGAGGGTGGGAGGAAATGAGAAAAGGTAACCTTCAAGAAAAAGAAAACTGTGTAATGCAATGAGTGCTTACGGGAAGTACTGTAGTAGTCCCAAGTGTAATGAGTGACATCTCCAAGTTGGAGAAGGAGATATACATGCTCTTCCCATGTGTCTCAGGACCCTCAGATTTTTTTTAATTAATGCAAGCATTCAGACATCCCAGCAACATATTTCTTTCCTCTTTAATGCAAAAATAGAAAAGAAACTAAATTACGTGTAACTTACTACATGTCTGTGTGCAGAGTCTGGCTCATTGTGCACTTTGAAACATGTTCATCCCAACCTCACTTGTAA